AATGGCCTCGGTCCTCTATACCTGAAGGAGCGTCTCCACCCCCATCATTCTGCTCGGACACTGAGATCCAGCTCTGAGGGCCTTCTGGCGGTTCCCTCACTGTGAGAAGTGAGGTTACAGGGAACCAGACAGAGGGCCTTCTTGGTAGTGGCACCCGCCCTGTGGAACGCCCTCCCTTCAGATGTGAAGGAAATAAGCAGCTATCTTATCTTTAAAAGACATCTGAAGGCAGCCCTGTTTAGGGAAGTTTTTAATATTTAATGCTGTATTGTTTTTAAATCTCGATTGGGAGCCACCCAGAGTGGCTGGGGAAACTCAGCCAGATGGGCGGGGTATAAATAATAAATTAATTTAATAATAATAATAATAATAATAATAATAATAATAATCAATAATAATTAATAATTGTGACTTGGGCCGGTTCATGGTCCTGCAGACGCCACAGTGGGCTGGATTGTATGCACGCATGTGCAAATGCTATTTCCGTCACGGAGGCGTGCATAGCTTCCCGTTGGCTGCAGGACCTTCGTGCAGCCAACGGGAAGCCGGCAAGCATAGCGGAAGGCGGTCCCCTGTCTGCTCCACGCCGGTTTAGCGCAGCGCATGGGAGCTGACTGATCGGGCGGCAGGGGTCCCTGAGTGGGCTGTGGGGGTCCATGGGCCGGTTAAACGACTCCTATGGGCCGCTTGTGGCCCATGGGCCTTAGGTTGCTGACCCCTGGTTTACACTGCTCAGCCTCTCCCCAACAACTGATGTGCGGGGAAAATTCAGCAGCTGCTTTCGCCTGCGTCCTCCAGCCTCCTGCCAACCACAGAGCTTCAGTTCTAGTTGTGGATATTTTTGGATCACCCCTGAGTGCTCACTGGAAGGACAGATCCTGAAGCTGAGGCTCCAATACTTTGGCCACCACATGAGAAGAGAAGACTCCCTGGAAAAGACCCTGATGTTGGGAAAGATTAAGGGCACAAGGAGAAGGGGACGATAGAGGACGAGATGGTTGGACAGTGTTCTCGAAGCTACCAGCATGAGTTTGACCAAACTGCAGGAGGCAGTGGAAGACAGGAGTGCCTGGCGTGCTCTGGTCCATGGGGTAACGAAGAGTCGGACATGACTAAACGACAACAATTTTTGGTGTGGGTTGAAGAGAGTGTGGCAGAGAAGGTGTTTAAAGGGTGCTTAGAGAGTGCTCCCCACTTTACAAGATTTATGCGCACACGGGTCTAGAAGGTAACCCCCACAAAAGTGGGGTGTGTGTGCCAGTACCTTACAATGTGAGCTGCCTTAGAAAGAGCTCCCCGGATATTGTCTTGGCACTGACCTCATTGAAATGAGTGAGGCTTGAACCTTCCAAGGGGCATGGAGATTGGGCTGATAATTCACAATGCAATTATTTTTAGATGCTTCCTTAACGAGCCCAAAACAGGAATCTGACCATGGCACCTAAGCGGAGACGAAACTAGTTCAGCAAGGCCAACCAGCAATAAGTCTTTTTCTTGGATGTGTTCCCAGTCAATTAACAACAAGACAATGGAGTTCTTCAGTAAGGCACGTCAGTGTCGCCCTTAAATTGTTTAGAAAATGCGCTGCTGTTATGTTAATGAAAGGCTTGACTCAACCCCAAACGTTAAATATATGTCTTCCTCTTTCCACACCAGGGTGTGTAAAGCTTGTGCGGATAGGATTACAGTCCTCAAGGCTATAAATTTCCCTATTAGTTTGGGGGTGCTTCACATTTTCCCCACAGGGTGCTGTGCGGGGTGGAGAGTGGGGAGAGCACATGCGCTCACTGAATATTCTGGGTGTGCATTTGGATCTACAACAGGCAAAGGCAAAATCCGGCCCTCCAAATGTTTGGGACTACAATTCCCATCACCCCTGACCACTGGTCCTGTTAGCTAGGGATGATGGGAATTGTAGTCCCAAACATCTGGAAGGCTGGAGTTTGCCTATGCCTGATCTGCAACAGGAGCTTTTAGTCTCTGGTACACAAAGCAAAATGGATACTCGTTCAGTGCTCATGCCTGATGGGTGTAATAAAAGAAAAACGTGTTGTCTTCCTTAGAAAAAGGATATCCAAAGTGATGGGCCACAGCATGTTTAAAACAACAAAACTTCAAATATAATTGTTTAAAGGACAGGTACAGCCAAATTTTAAATACCTGTGTTGTTACTGCTGTCTGGCCGTGGGCTGTCACCACTCATTGCAGTAGTAAATAAGGAGCTGAACCTGTTGGCCTGGAAAGGAGACAATCAGAGGAGGTGCTGACACTCCATTCTCCTTATTTTTTTTAAATAAAAAATATATACCATATATCCTAAGGGACGCAGGTGGCGCTGTGGTCTAAACCACAGAGCCTAGGGCTTGCCGATCAGAAGGTCAGCAGTTCGAATCCCCGCGACGGGGTGAGCTCCCATTGCTCGGTCCCTGCTCCTGCCAACCTAGCAGTTCGAAAGCACGTCAAAGTGCAAGTAGATAAATAGGTACCGCTCCGGCAGGAAGGTAAACGGCGTTTCTGTGCGCTGCTCTGGTTCGCCAGAAGCGGCTTAGTCATGCTGGTCACATGACCCGGAAGCTGTATGCCTGCTCCCACGGCCAATAAAGCGAGATGAGCGCCACAACCCCAGAGTTGTCCGTATCTTGGAACTGACTGTTAGGGGTCCCTTTACCCTTTACCTTTATATACCATATATATACCGTGTGTGTGTGTGTGTGTGTGTGTGTGTGTGTTTTGCAGCCAACCCCACTCCCCACCCCACCTGTCCCCATGTAAAACTACCTTGGGCAAAAGATTTCTGCATTGCAGGGCAGCTCCACAATCCTATGATTCTACCACCATACAAAAAAGTTAAAAACAGACATCAATTAACCATTGTGGAGAGAGGCCTTCCTAACTGCCTCCTCCTATACCACAGGTTGTATAAACCTGCATGCTTTGACTTTTTGGCCTAGACTTCGCTTCTGTTAAAACAGTGGAGGCAGTGACCAGGAAATAAATAAACCACACATTTGATTTTTATTGTTATTAAGGACTGTAGCCAAGGTCAGTCCTACTCAGAGTAGACCTACTGCACACAAGTAACTTAGGTTCATTAATTTCAGTGGGTCTCCTATGAATATAGCATAGTTGGATACAACTCTCAAGGACTATAAAGCCCTTCGCTGTAGTCTTTGCTGTTTTTGTCACTGCTTGGAATAATGCTTGCTGAGTGGTAATTGCCATGTGTGGTAGTAGTAGTAGTAGTAGTAGTAATTTATTATTTATACCCCACCCATCTGGCTGGGTTTCCTCAGTCACTCTGGGCGGCCTCCAACAAAAGATTAAAAATACATTAAAACATCAGTCATTAAAACCTCCCTAAACAGGGCTGCCTTCACATGCCTTCTAAACAACAGATGGTTGTTTATTTCTTTGACATCTGATGGGAGGTCATTCCACAGGGCAGGTGCCACCACCAAGAAGGCCCTCTGCCTGGTTCCCTGTAACTTTGCTTCTCGCAGTGAGGGAACTGCCAGAAGGCCCTCAGCGCTGGACCTCAATGTCCGGGCAGAACGATGGGGGTGGAGATGCTCCTTCAGGTATACTGGACCGAGGCCGTTTAGGGCTTTAAAGGTCTGCACCAACACTTTGAATTGTGCTCGGAAATGTACTGGGAGCCAATGTAGGTCTTTCAAGACCGGTGTAATATGGTCTCGGCGGCTGCTCCCAGTCACCAGTCTAGCTGGGAGGGTGGCTGGTGCCTTTCTGTCTGATTTGTGGCATTTGGGTGGCTAGCATTGGGGGGGGGGCAGAATACCCAGCTGGATAGATTCAGGGGTTACTCCAGCAGGGCTCCTCGTATTCTGATGCCTTCTACAGTAGTTGGACGTTTTGCTGGTGTTCGTTTGTTCATTTGCTGGTGTTGGTTTGTTCATTTGCTGGTGTTGGTTTGCTCTAGGAGCATATGCAAGGAGACAGAGGGCCAGATCAGTTATTCCATTCTTCAGGAAACCCTCTGTTGGGCTGGTGTGCCCCACCCTCCAGGAAGGATGGAACAAGCACACTTGTGTGTGCCATGCATATTGGACAGAACGCTTCCCCATCTATAACTGATGCAGTCCCCCTCCCATTCCCATTCTTTCTGGCAACAGTCGGAAATGCTGTGCTCAAATGCAGTACAAATCACTTCCCCTGTTAACTTTTGCTCCAAAGTGTAGGGAAGGGCTATGTAGGCAGGCTGAGTGCTTTCCTTACGCAGTGGATGAACGGATCCAGAGGCAGACCGAAGCCAGTTGCCGTAGCCGTCATATCAGCCCGAATGCCCTTGAACGAATCTCAGAACAGCAACACTGAACTTGATGTGGAAACAGCTCTTCTGTCTTCTTCCCTCCCACACCCTCTAGGGGGCATTGACTTAGACGCTTATGCCTTTGAGGGGCTGCTACATGAGTGCTGATCTGCAGATAAGTTCTTGTTTAGCACCTTTGCAGGCCAAAGGAACATGCCAGCTGATCCTTTCTGTTGGCCAAGTAGCCTTTTTTCCTTTTTTTTAACCAGCCTCGCAACGGTGCAAAATTCAGATTCCAGCATTCTTAACTTTAGGTAAAGCTAAAGGGACCCCTGACCATTAGGTCCAGTCGTGGCTGACTCTGGGGTTGCGGCACTCATCTCGCTTTACTGGCCGAGGGATCCGGCCTACAGCTTCTGGGTCATGTGGCCAGCATGACTAAGCCGCTTCTGGCGAACCAGAGCAGTGCACGGAAACGCCGTTTACCTTCCCACTGGAGCAGTACCTATTTATCTACTTGCACTTTGATGTGCTTTCGAACTGCTAGGTTGGCAGGAGCAGGGACCGAGCAACGGGAGCTCACCCCGTCGCGGGGATTCGAACCGCCGACCTTCTGATCAGCAAGTCCTAGGCTCTGTGGTTTAACCCACAGCGCCACCCGCATCCCTATTCCTAACTTTAAAATACTGTTAATGAGTTTGTTTTATTATTTAACTTTTTTTGTTTTAAAAAGAGTTTTCTAAAGTTTGCAGTCTTTCGGAATAAACAGCAAACAGCTTGTAAAGATTTCTCTCAATGCCTAGAAGCTGAGTGAGCTTGCAAGGGAGCCCTAGCCAGGTATGATGGCCTTATTGGGAAGTCCTGGAATACAAAAGCCATTGAGCCTTGCAACAGAAACAGGTGTGTCTGTGTGTTGCCGCTTCCTCTCTCTCTTTTCCAGCAGGGCATATGATTGCCAAGCCCTTCCTGATCGGCTTTATTAACTTTAGAATAGTTGATGATTCTTCTGCAGTGATGAGTGGAGCTACCTGCCAAGCTGGAACAGGCTTCACCTTTGACGTCCAGTTGGGTGTGTCTGTGGATATTTTAAGCTTTGCTTGCAAACAGCGTCTCAGAGATAACTGAGAGTAGCGGAGCTGTACTAACTACAGCTATTCAGCCTGTACAGAAATGGATACCAAATCTTCAGGACCAGCTCCCGTCGGCACAGCGCCTGAAAATATTCCTTCTGGAGTGGATGTTTTCAGAACCATACCGTATGCCTTGATTCTGCCAGAGCTGGTAAGTCAAATGACTTCTTTTAATTATAGTTATTTGATTCCATATAGTATAATACAGTTCATGTATGCTCCTGGTAGCATTTATGCATGGCCGGGAGTCTTGGCTTCTGGCATGGGCATGAAATATGCAGGTTGAATCACACACACACACACACACACACACACACACACGTGCACATAGATAATCCACAAAAGGAAATCCATTGCACATCAAAAAGTCTCCACATACATCTCACTTACTGGATCAGGGATGCAAGCTTAAAGCTGTTGTGCATCTGAATTTGCACCAGCGTGCCATTCTGATTGCTATCCATCTGCATCACTGTTGCTTTCAGTGGGCCCTGAAATTATTTTAAGCCTTTAAAATATTTTTGGAGCACCTATTCCGATTATTCCAAGGATATTGACATGGCCCCTTTAAGTGGCAAAGCCAGGGGTTGGAGGGCATCACTTTCGACTCTCCATAGTTCAAAAAATGCAAAGAGATTCCCAGTTGTTTGACCATGTTGATGAAACATCAACTGACCATGCTAGACTCTTAAAAGAAGCAATCAACCTCAGAAAGCAAAACTAACTGAGCAGCCATCCACAATGCTGTTTGATGCTCAGTTTGACTCTCAGGGACTCAGGAGCGAACCAATCTTGAGGCTGATTGCTGTGAGGACATGTTCTGCTCCTGAAAGGTTCTCTCTGACCTAACAATTAGATACATTTTAGGCTTGGCTGAGCTGCATATGGTACCAAGGGACTGAACCAGGAGTGTTCACAAGTTAGACACCAGCGTTTATTTAAGCTTAACTAATGTGGTTTGCAGTTAATTGGACATGGTTGGGGTTTTGGCCATTTACCTTGGGCCTTGGTTTGAGTGTCAATTACTCAGTTTGGGAGGGGGTGGCAGAAAACATGGGGTTTGCAGCACCAAACAGCACAAAACTAGCACAAAACATTGGCACCTGTCTGGAATCCATTGGAAATGGTTGGGTTTTTTGGCATTAAAATTGTGACCCTGTGTCAATTACTCGGTTTGAAGTCTGGCACGAAATGCGGGGGTTCGTGGCACAAAATGGCACAAAACTAGTGCTAAACTTTGGCATCAGGTTGCGGGGGGATCCAGAATTTTGGGGTTACATGGTAATGAAGCTGTTGATTTATACAGGTGAGAGGAGCAGGCAGATTTAAGTGACTGGAACTTTGGGGGCAGAGTTCTGCTAGCTGACATACAAAGCAGAGAGGTCCAAAATCAGCTGCACTAACCATCCTGAACATATTCTTATGCACATTTATCTGGAGGTTAATCTATTGATTCCAAGAGTTTCCTTTCAAGTATGCATACTTTGAGTATTAGCCCATGATACGGAAAACGCGGCAGAGCAGCTCAAGAGCTGCAGCCCATTTGCGTTCCCTGTGAGCTTTATGACGTGTGGACTTTAATGCTGTCGGACTTTGCCTCTGATAAGTGAAGGACCTCTTGAGCGAAGGTTGCCTTCGTCACAAATCCAGCAAATTACAATAAATGGCCCAATGGTACTGATGACAAAGACTTCGCAAGAAGAAATCTCTGTGCTGTGAAATGGAAAGCCAGCGCTCCTGTGATATGACTGACACACCTTACTTACCTAATGGTTTTGGAATGCCCATTAAGGAGTGTGGCAGGCAATGCATTTTCAATTAAAAGGATGACATTGAGGTGGGGGCAGATCAGAGGAACAGCGGCTGCTAACATAGGGTTACCAGACATCCCTGGATTTGCAAATCTGTCCCTGGACAAATTCCATCCCCGGAATGTCCCCAAATTTGCAAATCTGTCCCTGGGAAACGTGGCAGTGGCAGCCTCAGCAGCCCGGAGCCAGCCTGGTAGTGCAGTTGCCTCTGGCTGGCTTCAGGAGCTGCTCGCTGCCGTGGCACCTGCCATTTTTCCTCGCCGGAAGTCCCCATATGATGTGTCTTGTGCGCATAAGATGTGTCTTGTGCAATCTCCTGCTCCCTTCCCTCTTTGTTTTGACTGATCGGGGAGGCTTGGGAGTCGCAGGCGGGCTGCCGTTGCCCAGTTTTTTAAAAACTCTGTGCATTTATGTTTCACAGGGTGCGAAAGAAGGGCTTTGCACCTTTATACAATATGCATGTGTGCTTGGGCCCAGGGTCTTTTGCCTCACCATCCCCACTACTGACTCCCTGTTGCTACTCAGCTTCAAAAAAAGAAAAAAGTGTCCCCAGATTCATTGAAAAAAATCTGGTAACCATATGCTAACAGGCATGGGGGAAAGTGGCAAAGCCTTGGAGCTTTGTTTTCCTCCACAAACCTTTTTATACTCTGTGAAATGGGCAGTGTTCATATCAGAACTGTCAGGAAAATTCTGCGCTCCACAAAAAGTTTTGACTTTTTGTTTGGAAGATTGTGCAGACTAATGGATCCAAATGGCAAAGGTCTATCAGATGAGGAACACAGAAAGATGACCTGCTGTGGGGCCCTTCAGACAGGGGTTTTGTTGCAGGTGTCTACTTTACCTACTGCAACATGCTATTGATATAATAAATATATACATATTTTTTTATTTATACCCCACCCTTCCTGGTTCAGAAAACCGGGCTCAGAGCGGCTAACAACAAATTTAAAACACTTAATTTATGAAACAAAATACAGTATAAAATGTGAATAACAATAAATTCAGCATTCAAAAATCAATTTTGGGGGAAATCCATTAGATGATAACCAGGGCTAGCTGGCTAAATTAGTCCTATTTGGGCCAGCGAGGAGATCGGGGAAGAATTAGCTGTGGGATCCCAGAGTGGGTAATCTTCATAAAAAGGGGAGGGGAAGGGAAGGAAGGAAGGGGAATAAAAGATCAGGCTAAGTTCAAATTGAAAGCCAGACAGAATAGCTCTGTCTTACAGGCCCTGAGGAAGAAAGTTAAATCCTGCAGGGCCCTGGTCTCATGGGACAGAACATTCCACCAGGTTGGAGCCATCACTGAGATGGGCCTGGCCCTGGTGGAGGATAATCTGACTTCCTTAGGGCCTGGGACCTCTAAACTATGATTATTCATGCACCTTAAGGTCCCCTGCGGTGCATACCAGGAGAGGCAGTCCCGTAAATACGAGGGCCCTAAGCCACAAAGGGCTTTAAAGGTCAAAACCAGCACCTTAAACCTGACCCGATACTCCATTGGGAGCCAGTGCAACTGGTAATGAAATGGTCATGCATTAGTGGTGGATTTATGCGGGACTTGTCCACACATCATTTTGCTTTATTAGATGTTCTGCAGTGCTTCCTCAGTGCTAGTGCATCTGGCGGGATTTTCTTGCAATATAGTGCAATAAAAGCAGGACAAAACAAACAAACAATAACCACCTCAGGAACATCTGTGGTGCAGTTGACTTGCAATGCACACACATTTAACTTGCACAAATTCAGCCTAAAAAAATAAACGGGACAAGCGTCCAGGGAAACAAATGTTGGGTTGGCAACCCCACCCACTATTGCACTCACCTGGGGAGAGAGTTCAGAGGTGCAGGGAGAGTGTTCCGCAGGCTTTGGGAGCTTTCATGCCTTGCTTGAGAGCTTCTCAGAGGCATCTCTTTGCCTTTTTAAGGAAATAGGTTGGATTAGTCGGGCCTTCGGCCTCTCTGTTATGTTCTTATGAACCATAACAAAATGTGGTGGGTGCAAATGAGGAAGTTAAGTTCAACCGAGTCCCACTGAAAAGCATTTCTCTTCTGCAGCTTCTTGTGAACATAAGTGGGCCTTGTGCAAGGAGGATCTGCGCTAGCTTATGCCTTTAGTTACAAAAGAGTATCTCTCTGTATATTTTTCATTTCATGCAGACCACAGTGGGCTTGCAGGACTTTTCTCAAAGAAAGATCCTAAATTTTGTAAACAAAATAACGTTCTAGGTAAAGACGCTTTAAAAAATTGTACACAACCCTGCCACAGAGAGAGCTTCTGACTTTAATCCCATAGGCTTAGATAATAATTAGGATTCTGCCAGTGGAAACATCCTTTGAGCGGAATGCTACCTGCAGGATGCAGGCAAAGTCCACCAATTCCCCCTTTCCTCTGTAGCCTATTGATCCTCACCCAGTAAAATGTGCTTGGGAGGTTTCGGGGACCGTCCTGAGCAGTACAGTGGTACCTCGGGTTAAGTACTTAATTCGTTCCGGAGGTCTGTTCTTAACCTGAAACTGTTCTTAACCTGAAGCACCATTTTAGCTAATGGGGGCCTCCTGCTGCCGCTGCGTTGCCGCCGCCCAATTTCTGTTCTTATCCTGAAGCAAAGTTATTAACCTGAGGTAATATTTCTGGGTTAGCAAAGTCTGTAACCTGAAGCGTATGTAACCTGAAGTGTATGTAACCTGAGGTACCACTGTATTTTGAAACGGAAGGCCTGGTTTCACCTCTGCGCGACCCACCCTTGAGAACCTGCCTGGCTGCTTCTCAACAAGGGTGGGTCTGTGCCTCTCTTGAAAGCGATCCTTCCTCATCAGCCCTCAGTGGGGAGTGTAGGTCTGAGCACGCAGAAGCTAAGAGATGCCTGTTAGTGGATATGAAAAGCTCCGTGCCAGATTCCCCCCAACCCCACCCCTTGTTGTCACTGAAATGGTAGCTCTGGCTCAGGGTAGGTCTCTGGGAACACCTTTGTGAAATATGTGCATATTTATAGCGGCTGCTCAAGGAGGTGTGCAGGAACTGACATCCTAGGAGAATTGTGAGGCTAGGTTCTTCTTGAAGAATTAATGATCCAGAAAACTCATTGCCTGTTCATAATGAAATGTTTGCACAAATCATATGAAGTATGTCCTATATATAAACACAGGTGTTTTGTTTTTTTTAAAATTTTCTCTCTGTGCCAATATCTGTCTCTTGAATTAGGCTTCACAGGTGTACATATTTCACCTGTACATTTTGCCCCACACAGTAAATAGCATCTTTTTCTTTCTTTTTTATGGGGGATTAAATTGTCCTTCTCCATTGCCGTGGTCCCAATCCAACACCCCAAGACCACC